TTTTTTTTCATTTAATATGGCGTGAACTTAATTATTCATTGACAGCTAATCAACCTTTGCTCCTGTGTGAAGACTTTACACTTACCTTGCAAAAAGTTCATTTAATAGACGCACCAACTCCTCCGCTGTACATTGATCCGAGAGACTTGTAAAACCGCAGATGTCAGCAAACAGAATACTGAAATTTTAATGAAATTAAAAAAAAAAAAAATAAATAAAGACAATGAAAAAGGAGAGCAAGTAAAAAAACGCATTAATGTCTGTTTTTAAAAAGTTAAGAAGATTGAACAACAAAAACAACTTAAAATAAATGGAAAACCCCATTGTGACACTCCGTGCAACAGGTTCATCGGAACATAATCTGTTAATATTTGATTACGTTGAGCAAATTGAGTGGAAAAACATTTATGGGGTTAAAGAGTCTATTTAAAGAATTCCCGCTGTGGTTAGGTTGTTGAACTTCGTTTGTAGCTTTTCCCCCTTTTTATTAGCTACTGTTGTTCACACATCGCAGCAGGTGAATTTTGAAGGTAAATGTAACATTGTATCAACTAAGAATATTTAGGTGTGTAGTTGTTTGTTTTGTTCTTTTTTATAGACCAGAATTTTAGAGTCATTTTGGCATTAGTTGATGTACTGAAGATACAAATTTGTGTATATATTTAGTCGTCATATTTGTATGGAATTGGTTAATTATTCTAGAAATATTCAAGGGTAATTTATCATTCTCAATACACCTTTATATTAAATATTGTGTATCAATATTATTGAACGGCAGTGATTATCATATGGTATTTACAAACTATTTAATCCCTAAGATTTAAAACACTATATATAGGTATATCATCTTTCTAGCCTTGTAGAAAAGTCGAAGTAGCAATAATATTGTAAAGCTAGGGAGATATCAAGATTCAGTATTTACATTAGAGCGGTTATATATCTAACTCTGGACGATATGTATCAATTTTTATAGGTAACTGCGGACCAAACAAATAACTATGAAATAAAAACGATGATAAGTTCGGTCCGGCCGAACTTCTTATACCCTCCACCATGAGGATGACAATCAAAATATCTAAAATTAATTGGGGGGCTCCTAGGAGAAAACTCATGTAATGATAGGACCTTGAACATACCGAAAAATTCGTGAGAAAACTAAAATACAGTAAAGTACGGCTATAACGGTTATAGGGAAAGAAGTAATAGTTCGTTACAAAAAAGTTCTATATATCCGTAATTCGTAGTTTGCTATAAGCGAAAGAATTTAATTTATAATAATTTTTGATACTGATATGTTATTCAATGAGAACCAAAACCAGTAAGGAAAGTAGTAAAGTCGGACGGGCCGACTATATGATACCCTTCACCACTTTGAATATATATTCAACAGACACATTCTAACAGACATCACGTTTTCGAAAAACCATTGACCATTGAAATTGGATCAACTAAAATAAGTGATCTATATCTAAATTTGAACCGACTTAGATCAATCCATAAACATGTCATTCTGTAATATACTAAACTCTGCATTTGGATAGATGGAGAACGAGAAAGAAATATGTAAATCCATTTAAAGCAAATCTTAATCGGACACAAGGTGATTACTTGAATTCCAATAAACATGAAGTCGATCGCGAAAATATATGGGATATGTCTGCCTTTCTCCAAAAAGTAATTACGCCATTCTATACTCAATTTTGTAGGTTGTGCAAAATTTCACGTCAAACTGACAAAAATGATGAGTTTGAAAATGGAAAATATATCTAAACCAATTTCAATGAAACATGTCACAGGTTAGTTTATACCAATTTCAGCACGTTTTGTGCATATCGGCGATATTTTTGGTCCTTGGTGCATCATTTACTTAAAATCGGAGGAAAATATATGTAGGAAGCTGAACCGATTTTCCCGAAACATAACACACATCATTCTAGATTTGAATTTCGTCCAAATCGAATAATATACTTAAGTACATTTATATTAAATCGGACGAAAATATATATATATATATATATATATATATATAAATCTGAACCAATTGCAACGAAAATTGTCACAGGTTAGGTTATAATAATTTCAGTACATTTTGTGTCTATCGGCCATATTTTGGGACCTTGGTGCATCATTTACATAAAATCGGAGAATAATATATATGGAGATATATCTAAATCTGAACCGATTTTTCCTAATTTCAATAGGGCTCGTCCTTGGACCAAATAAGCGAGCTGTGCCAAGTTTCATCCAATTCGGGTAATAAATGCGACTTGTACTTTGTTTACAATTTAACATGGACAGGCAGACGGACAAACGGACGGACGGACATTCATAAATCGACTCATAAAGTGATTCTATGCATATTCTCAAAAGGAACCATGTGTCTATCTCGTATCCTTTTACCTGTTACAAACATATGCACAAAGACTAATACCGATGTGGTGATGCGTATAAATACCAAATTGCAATCAATTCGGTTGGAAAACCAGTCTAAAATTCCCAAAATACCGAGTATTGAGGGCCAACCTTTAAACTTGGGCCAATATTAATATTCTTTGGTACGGACATAAACTATACAATGAGAATCCAAAATATTAAATACAGCCAATTTGTATCCTAAATCGGAATACTGTTATATGGGGCTACCCTGAGACATGAATCAATATTATAAATTTAGTACGGAAATGTGTTATACAATGAGAACCAAAAATACTGAGGTTACTGTTATATGGTGGCTACCCTGAAACTATGGTCAATTTTAATAATTTTTAGTACGTATATGTGTCACTAAATGACAACCCTAAATACCAAATATCACCCAATTCTATTGGAAAATGTATCAAAAATACCGTTATATGGAGGCTAAACCATAACGTAGACCGAAATAAGCCATTTGCAATACCAAAAATCCTAGAACTACTACCGATGCCTGTGCAAGATTTTAAAACTATTTCTCAAATATTGCGATCTCTATCGTGATGACACGCATAAATCGACATAGAATTTTATTCTGATCAAGAATATAGGGGGTCTCCGGTGAATATTTCAAGATGTTGTAAATGGAATAACAAATTTAATATGCACTCTACATTTTGGTGGAGGAAGATGTTCCGATGGGGTGCTTAGTGTTTGGCCGATACTGTACACGGTGTTGTGTCTTTGTGCATAAGTTTGTAAGAGATAAATGAAATCAAGATAGATCTATAGTTACTTTTGAGAATATGCATAGATTCACGTTGTTAGTCTATTTATGCATGTATGTCCGTCTGTTGATGTATTATTTCAAACAAAATACAGGTGGTATGAGATAAAATTGAGCACAGCTCATTTATTGGACTCAAGAACGAAGATTTGGATATAGCTCCCATATAAATTTTCGGTCAATTTTATGTTCATGGTCTCAAGGTTTGTTTGATTACCGCTGGTTCGAAATGAAAAAAAGTATATTTTTTTATTAGATGCTTAAGTTATAAAACAATGTTTTCTTTAAAAATGGTTTTGACTCATTTTAAATTCGTATATGAGCCCCATATTTTGAAAATGGTTTAAATCCATTTTAGATTTTGGTGAACATCTCGGATTTTGAGTACATTTTACAAAATATATAACGTTATATTTTCTAACATGCTGAAGAAAACTGTGTTATTGTGGGTTACAATAAGAGCCTTTAGAGTGTCTCTTGTATATACCCAGAGTCCTTTCCTTATGCTAAATTTGAAAAATTTGACATCTTGAAAATCGTCAACGATAATCCAGATTATCTAAAAAACTGTAACTGATGACTAATTAACGTTAATCGTTAAATAGGACATTGAAATCAAAGCCCAACCAGCCCAAGGGAAACTTTCAGAAGTGCCAAGACAAAAACATGCACATGTTCGGTCAAGTGGTAAGGGTTTGTTCACTGTTTTTATGAATTCTGCCCACAAGGTCATTTGACATATTGGAATTTCGTGTGGAAAATTTTTGGTTTCAGTTGGTTTTCAGCATTTTTTGATCATTTCCTTTTATACAGGTACAATGCACACAATTCGTAATCAAGTAGCCATGTTCGGTATCTATGAAGGGGATTTCGAATTGCAGTACATAGATACGCTGATTAAATGCAAATCGATAAACGAACACCATTATTATGAGGCTGGTCGTTGCTATAATATAAATCACACCCAATAATCTGATGCTCTTATCGGTGGTGTTCATGCTCTTGGATAAACATTTACGATACTCGAAATTTTTATCTAAATATTCTTTATAGATTGCGTGCAGATCGTTCACCAAGTAGCGCAAGGGTACTTTATTCCAAATAGCATTTGAAATTTTCGAATAGCCCTACGGGAGAAAACAGAAAAAAGAAAAAAAAGTACCCTATTTGCAAAACCGGTGACTCTCGTAATTAGATCACCCACCTGCAGGCTACTTGTAATCATGCATAGAGTCTGTAACATATCCGACCAATTACCATCAATATAGATGTTCTTATAGACCGTATATCCGGTACAGCCAAAATAGACATATATACAGGCGAACACAAGTGCCGTTAGCATAATCGGCAGATAGTTTTCATTTAAAACATCCGCTCCAACAAATCCGGAACATATTCGTATTAGGCGACGAGTAAATTCGAAACGTTGCAGCATATTACCAATGCAATTTTTTTTCTTTTTATTTTTGTTTAGAGAAAAAAAGTGAACTGTTCTATCGTAGAATAGATTCTAGACTAATGTCAGATTATACAGGTATTAGAGAGCGAAACTTACAGGTTAAAAACAATTTCAACATCTGTTGTTGGAAAATAAATTATTCATATTATTTGAAGGTTTTCATATAGTCGGACGAGACCGACCATATACCATAGAGTGGTGAATGGTGTAAAAATGGAAAAACGGTTGATAGGATTATATACAAAAACACAACAAATAAGAAATACAACACGTTGCCATGGTTCAGGAAACGAACTGCTTCTAGAGTTGAGACAACCTTTATAGAGTTGAATTTAATTCTCAGATTTAATTTCGTAATTGCTTCGATATAAATACAAATGTTCAACGTACGACATTTGTAAATCCAGATAGCCCAATAGGCTTGACGAGTCGGTGGGTAAGGAAGTTCGCTATGGCTTTCCTTTTCATTGCAACACTTTATCACTAATCTCAACTCGAAATTTCCTAACATAGTATGTGGTTTTCATAGAAAACTGCAAGAGCTAATCAATCTACACACCAATATCGACCCTATTTAAAATTTGAATACAATATTGTAAATATGTTCTCTATAATAGGTATTTCAAAAACTACCTCCATATCTCAACACTACATACAAATTCTGAGCGCAACAGAAATCTAGTATATATTATATATATTTGGTACCATTTATTCTCAAATTACCTACTTATTTAGTACGTTTGTACGTTTGGACTCTTGTTGTACTTATTTCCAAAGCTAATTCTAAATTTCAGGATTTGAGCTCCATGAGTTCACCTAAATCCAAATTTTACCAAATTTAGTAAACATTAATATACATTTCCATATATATGGGAGAGTACCAGAGAAGGGGGCAGACGGGTCCCACCTTCGGACGGACGGACATTTGTAAATTGACTCCAAATTATCTAAAACGTATTTGGTCCCAAGAAACATGGGGTCTAAAACCAATATTTGTATGAGGCACATTTTCACCGTATCAAAGTGTATATACCCTCATTAGTCATAAGACTGAGGGTATAAAAAACCATCCTAAACTCTATCAGTGACCCTCATTCCAAATTTAAGAGTTCTAGCTGTACCGGGTTACCATATTTAGTACTTGCCATGAAGTTCTAGCACGAATTTCCAAAAACCCAGCCTTATCTTACATCTTCGGACTAAGGTCGACCCTCACCCCAAAGTTAAAAATTGTAGCTTCAGTCGTTTCGTATGGGTGTTGATTATTCGTTTACTCAATCGTTTATTTAATCGCTTTACTCTTTAATTAATATAGATATTTAGTTTCAAATAACTTCTCACACATTGCATCCGTACTTATGGATTCATTGCAGCAGATTATTTCAGTATTTTATAGGCGGACGATTGGCTACCAAGATCGTGTAATATTGCACCCTGTGGGAATATGTATGGTCTGAAGTTTAAGCGTACATACTTTATGGTTAACATATTTACTGGGATATGTAATCGAACGACTTATCACACTTTTTCTCTTTTGTAGTTAATACATTACAACACGATATGACAACGTAATTGCATATAGATTTCCATATACAATAGTTTTTTCAAGGTAATGACAATCCAATTAATTGTAGAAAATTAACATATTTTGAGAATTTTCCATAAATGACAATTACTTAAAGATATACACTGCCGATTTTCGCCCAAAATATGGCCCAAAAGAACTACAAAGAGATGAAACCATAAAGGTTCGATATAAAATGTGTGGAAATGCTAAGATCTTTCAAAATATATCTTGCAACTTTTTTGCGGATTTTTCTCAAAATGTTCTTTCATTAAATCATGTCCACTTCAATTACAGACTACTAATAGAAATTTTAAGTCAAATCGGTCCAGCTGTTTCTTTAAAATAACTTTTGCAAGATTTTCGCGGATTTTTCTCAGAATTTTCTTTCATAAAAACCTTCCCACTATAATTACCGACAACTGAAAGAAATTTTGAGTCAAATCGGTCCAGCCGTTTTCAATTGATGCGTTAGTATACATTTTCATTTCTCCATTTTTATATATATGGATATATTTTATATGGATTTTGGATTTTACTGCTTAATTTTATACCATCCACCATGGGGGATATATATTATATTAAAATTTGCAATCCATCCACGGAATTCCAAAAGTGATGTATCATATAGTATACTAGCATAGCTACACAATACACTTTTGTGTAAGGTATAAATTGAAAATTGGGTTAAGTGTTACAAATATCCTCGACATAAAGATCCAGCGCATTATTAATTACATCTGAAGTAGCTGTAGTATAATATATTTCAGTGTGGTTGGAAACATCATTGGAAATAAATATCAGTACTATTATTTTAGAAATTTTGTAAAACATTTGCTTTTAAGAGTGCCTACACTTTAGTAATTGTGGTGTTCAGCCACCGTGGGTTGTGTTGTGATTTTCGGCCTATAATAGTAGCCTATAGATCAACCCAAAATTATTATCTGATCATCACTGAAAATAACCTATAATATCCTATAATACCTATAATACCCTGACAATATAGTTGTGTAGGGTATAAAAACTGCAAAATCAAAAATGTAACGTGAGTGACCGAGAAAAATCCTTCGCAAATAAAGGATATGCCAAATTTTGAAAGTTAAGTAATAATGCTTAATATCTCTTCTTTATGTAAAGAATATAAAAGGTCAAAATATTCGCACAATTCGCAAAGTTTTCCCTTTATAAGCAATGGTGTCTAGTGACCGCTCTTTTGTGGCTTTTAACTCGAAAGATAAAAACCGGAGACACTGAATTTGTTTACAACTGATAGTACTTCTAAAGTTCTACAAAAAAGTATTAAGGCAAATGGAGGTTCCTCTTAAGGGAGAATTGTAAAAAATGTAATTGTTGTTGATGTATTTAACATTTAAAGTTTGATTTTGCCTCTGAAAGTCGTGTAAGTGACTGCGGAAGTGCCCATATACCTTGTAAAAGAATATTCTCTAACGAAAAGACTAATTTTAATGGGGTAATTACGCAAAGCAGCTGTTTTTTTTAGTAGTAAGTCTTGTATGTACTACTACTCCACGTACATACATAAAATAAAGTGTCTATTTACGACAAGGTTTTATGCTCATTTGCACATAACATTACCCCCACTCGAGGTTACTGTCAATTTTGCAAACATCTTCATAATAAAAAGAGCTTTATCTAAAATATTATTATACGACCCCGAAAGAAAACACAGACAACAAGTTGTCAAAATTCAGCACTCCGTCAAAGTAACAATTTTACACTTCATAAAATTGTAAATATTCATAAATGGAAACCCTGGACTGGTTCAGGTCAACCTCATACTTCATTGGTAATTTAACGTTAACCAAAAAAAAAAAAAAAAAAAAAACGTGGAGATAACAAAATGTTGTCTGTAAAAAGAAATTTTAGTACACCCAAAAGTAATTTATAATCACTCAACAGCTTCAGCTATTCACGTGTTCATGACACACAAGCATGTGGACATATACGATAGCACATACATACGAGTATGCTACTTATTTCCTATGACCGCACACATTTGCTGTGGGATGGAATATGTTATGACCCTCGTGAATAAATAATGTGGCGCGTAATATGAACACAAAACATGGTTTTCATCCAAGAATTAGTCAAGCTTATAAGATTATGAAAGCCGTCACGTGGATATAATGTTCGCAAGAGGACATTCAATGTTAAAATATATATACAAAATGTTTCAATGAAATTACCACATAAAGCTACATTGATTATATAAAACATGTGCTTTTAAAAATCATGTAGTAATCCTTAGTAAGTTATAAGCTATACCTATATACAAACCGAACGAAATGATATATGGAAAATTACAAAATTATTTTAAAATTCCATAAAAAAATTTTAAATTTTTTTTGCGAGCACATTCATAGGTTAAGGAAAATATGCTGATTCGAAATCTGTTCGCGTTCACAAATTCGGATGCCGCGCACAAAATATATTGTATATTATTATCATATTAAATTAATTCCTATTTGTTGTAATTCGCGAATTTCTCGGCAAATGGTTAAACACATTTGTTTTCCTTGCATACTTGTCAAATCCCATTGAAATACGGCTTAATAGTCGTGAAAAACAAAAAAATAAACCTGAAGATATCTGAAAATAAAATAGTAGTGTTGGCGGTTTATTTGGGATACCATTTGTATTTTGTTTTTGCAAAATAGTCAGGCTTAATCCCAGTTTGTGGTTTTTATAAAAAAAAAACAACTATTAATAGTGGGGAATGTATGACATTATTTGCTAAGTACTTCGCTTTGTTACAAGAGCTTTCTCTTTTCGTATAGAAGCAATAGCTTCTGGGGAGAACATCTCAAAAAAAAAAAAAAAAAAAAACTAAGGGAACTCATGAGGATCAGGGGCGTGATCCGAAACTATAGTTTTCCCTGCCATATCCCTCGGCAAACAATGTCATACATTCCCCACTAATAAATAGTTGTTTTTTTTTATAAAAACAACAAACTGGTATTCAGTCTGACTATTATATGAAAATAAATTAATTTGTAACCAGTAAGGAAAGTTCTAAAGTCGGGCGGGGCCGACTATGTGATACCCTTCACCAATGTCGGTACATACAAGATATGTTAATATCTACAATATCCTGTAGATATAGAAATTTCGCATACATCGGTCGGGACCTAATTCAGTATTCTGTGCAAACTTTTGCTTCAATTGGAACAATATTGGAACTTTGGTGCACAATTTACTTTAAATCGGACGAAACCATATACGGGAGCTATATCTAAATCTGAACCGATTTCAACTAAACTTCGCATTCACCAATGACCTAATTTAGTACGCTGTGCAAAATTTTGTCGCAATCGGATAAATATTGGCAGTATGGAGCTTCATTTACATAAAATGGGACGAAACTATATATAAATCTGTACCGATTACAACA